ACCAAACCTCTCGCAAAAAAGAAAAACAAATCATTTGTTTTTCATGTGGCGCATCACTAATATCCTGTAGGATTCGAGTGTATTCACTGCTGATTCTTGTGGTCCTGTGAATCAAAGAGGCCCTAAGTAGTGTGAGCGGTCCTTTTTTTCTTCTCTTATTTGCACACACCACCAAAAATGCATATTGTTTGTAAGCTCACGTGTTTATATGTTATAGCATGTGGCGCATACTTACTGTTTCGGCTTTTCTGGCAAGCGCCCTTATGTATGTGGTGCACAGATGGAGCACACCCACGATAGACCAACATTTTTGTATCGGGTGGGCACACATTTGCAAGTACCGGACAGATAACCTGTAAAGTTGGATATTTCATCAAAGGTTCATCTCTGTAGTACATGAACTGTGTATTTATGGTTCAAATCCTCTATACGATACATGAAAAAGAAACATCTTTTTTCTTTTTCTTTATCCAAAATAAACAAACAACTGTTTGCATCTCCTTTCTCTATCATTGATTTCTTGAGGTTCATCTTCTTTTCTTGCATATCCACGAACGTCCTACTTGAGCTCATTTTGTTTGGCACTTGTCTCCTCCTTCATCATGATGTCCTTTTATTTGTTCGGTCATCTTGGCCGATGCCCCTTCTCGTTTCTCCTTCTCCTATCCCCCCTCCCCCTTCGACCTTGGCACACAGGTGGGTCATGCAAGCCCTCCTCCAACTCCAGTGCTTGTTTCACTAACTTTATCTCCTTTGGCATTGACGGTCTTGAGTGAGTTGGTTGTGTTGCGCGACTTGTTTTGCGCATCAACTTCATCCAACATTGGAGCACCGTGAATGGCTTGCCCTTGTTCCTTTCGTACAACACTGCCATGAGGCTAGTCTAGCAAAGCAATACAATCACCTGATTAACACATTGCAACATAAAGCAAAACAATCACATGATCAACACGAAGCATAACTTACTAGCTCGTGGAGTGACATGTCACTTGGCATTTGGTTTTGTACATATGCACCATAAAATATGTTGGCGTACTATTGAATGGCGTACCATCGATGGCTTAGCAAGCTCTCGTTCCGGTCACCGATCTTTTTTGTATTATAGCGATCATAGTGCTTGTTCTCATGAAACCATTCATGACCCTCATCCAAAATGTCAAGCACTTTTGCTCTGCACCTGCAAACATGTCAACACTTATGCCTAACCACACCAAGCTCAACTGTAACCACCTCATGCGAGGTGACCCATACATCAGTCAAATCCAGGTAGGAGTAGGGTATTACCTTCACGACGAGGGCCTAAACCTGGGTAAGCGCTTCGTATGTGATCCCTTCTAGTACTTTCGGTCAAAACAACTGCCTATTACCGCCAGGGTCGCCATCGCCATCCTCCCTTCCCTCCGCCGCCGTGGGAGGATGCTACTGGGCTAAGCCCGGCGGCCGACGACAATGGCGGGGGTTCTCCTCCCTGGCTCACATAGAAGGGGGTGGGGCAGGACCTCCTCGCGCGAGATGGCGAGGCCGTGATCTGATCCATGGCGGCGCAACGACGTGCTCCAGACGGCGGCCTTGGGTGGTGGCGTGGTGGGACGATGGTGGCGGCGTGGAAAGGACGCCGTGGAGGACTTGATTGGGCAGATCGGGCCGGGTGCATGCGGGGGTGGACTCTGGTCATGGCATGGCCAGTGTGCGTGCCTTGCTGCGCAACGACGGATACCTGGGCGGCTGCCCCGGGCGGTGGAGACCAGTGAGGCCAAGGTCGTCCTTGCTGCATGGCATGGTTGTACTCATAGCCAAGGCGGACATGCTCCAGTGGTCCGGTGGCTTCGACCCCGGTTCCCTTTCGGTACAGAGACGGTGAAGAGCGAGCTTGGGATCCTTCCTAACGGCTCTTCCGGCATGGCGCGGTGGGGTGATAGCCCCCTCTCCATGCTCTAGTGGTGGCGCCCTTCGGCAGTGGCCGAAGCTTCAGGGTCCACCATGGTGGTAGGTCGGCTGTGGATGGTCGCCTGATCTAGGCGGCCAAATCTGGGCTTTGAATGTGGTCTGGCAAATGCACAGTTGTCAATTGGAGGCTCGTGCCATAGATCCGGATGAAGATCTTGTCTTCGGAGCTGGTCGGAGCCGGTGGTGGCGACGTAATGGCGCCATTTCCTTCTTAAAGGCATCATCGAGGTGAAGCTCACAACTCCTCCTGCAACCTCCAGGGGAAACCCAAGACCAACCGATTGGATGATGGCAACACTCTTGTTAGTGCCGTTTCCCCATTAGGGGCCTCAGTCTTGGAGGGGTTCATCGGCTAGAGGGACCAATGGACAATAACAGGGGTGGAGCGACTTCGCATCTGATGCGCCGACATCGACGGGGCGTGGCGGCATGGGGCACGGGGTCTCGGTGATGGCCGCGTGTTGATGGACGCGCGTAGGAGGGTGGCGTTGTCTAGCGTCGGCCTCGACGATAGTTGGGCTTGGCAAGGCATATGCAATGATCTCTTCAGAAGATGGGACAGAGAAAGATGGCGGCGGCGGATTCTTGAGTGTGCGCATGGTGCTCTAGGCTCACCAGACAGCCTAGGGTGGCCACCCGATTAGATGGTGTTTGTGTGGATGTGCCAGGGCACTCCATGAAACTTATAGGTGTAGCGATTGTGGTCGCTAGGAAGGTGGACTGATCCATGTATCTACTTTGTCGAACTCTATTGAATAATTAATAAAGATGGCTGTGTGCATCGGTGGATGAAGAGGCCGTGGGTAATCCCCCTTTTCAAAAAAAGAACAACTACCTATTTTTCGTACTGACATCAATTGCATGATCAAGCTTTTTTTGAGGGGAAATAGTATTTATATTAGCTAACAATAGAGATACAATCAGTGTTCATGGCAGCGGCAATTTCCGAGGGGAAAATTGTTGGGGAACGTAGTATGCAATTTCAAATTTTTTCCTATGATCACGCAAGATCTATCTAGGAGATGCATAGCAACGAGAGGGGGAGAGTGTGTCCACGTACCCTCGTAGACCGAAAGTGGAAGTGTTAGGTTAACACGGTTGATGTAGTCGAACGTCTTCATGATCCAACCGATCCAAGTACCAAACGTACGGCACCTCCGTGTTCAGCACACGTTCAGCTTGATGATGTACCTTGAGCTCTCGATCCAATAGAGGGTCGAGGGAGAGTTCCGACAGCACGGCGGCGTGGTGACGGTGATGGTGATGTGATCTGCGCAGGGCTTCGCCTAAGCACTACGAAGCTATGACCGGAGGAGTAAACTATGGAGGGGGCACCGCACACGGCTAAGAGAAATCTTGGTGTCCCTTTGGGGTGCCCCCGCTCCCGTATATAAAGGAGGGGGGAGGAGGTGGCCGGCCAGGGGTGGCGCGCCATGAGGGGTGAAAGGATCGATATGGTTGACTAGAGGGGGGGGGGTGAATAGGCAACTAACAATTTTTAGCTTTTCTTTACCAAATTAAACTTTGCATCAAAGTAGGTTGTCTAGATGTGCAACTAGGTGAGCAACCTATATGATGCAACAACAACGAACATACAAGCAAGCAAGAGAAGTAACACTAATAAGCTTGCACAAGTAAAGGTAAGAGATAACTAAGAGTGGACCCGGTGAAGACGAGGATGTGTTACCGAAGTTCCTTCCTTTTGAGGGGAAGTACGTCTCCGTTAGAGCGGCGTGGAGGCACAATGCTCCC